GAATTTCTACATTTAGGCCAGGATGATTAGTGCAGATCTCTTGAGCTCGCAAACGCATGTTCTCCACGTTCCTAAGTAATCCAGGAATGACTCCGACATGACTCTGGGTGTAGGTATCGTCTAGAGTGTGTTGGTTTATGATATATGGAAACCTCATATTCAAACGATGGCGACCTCTTCACCAGCATGTCCAGATAGGATAAAGAGTGGTTAACTTCCACTTGGGAAGTATTCAGCCATTTTATCTTGTCCATTCATGAAATTCACGAAGCATTCTAACCTTTACAGTTCATCCTCGTTTCGTTAGAATAATACAGTTTGGTATGCTTCACTAGTATTTACTTTGGCATAGTGTATATTTTGGCCGTTGTGGGCTATTCACTCCATTGAGATGCATCGGGGTTCTCGACTAATAGAGAGCTGGTGTCAGTAAAAATTTTGTTTTGGAATGTTTTTAGAATAACTTTTAAACATACTTTTTAGGCTGAAAGAGATCTCAGGAAAAAGCTGAACCAAACGTTTACGTCGTTCTGTGACAAAGTTGAGAAGCTGACTAACACCGAAGTTGAATTCGATACACCGTTCCGTGCGCTAGGCTTCTACGGAGTACCGAATCGCTGCTCAGTGCTTCTGCAGCCTACCTCCTGCTGCTTGGTGAACCTCACTGATTGGGTCCATAATTTGATTTAATGACTCGCCTCATGCATTTAAATAATTGTTCTTGTTCATTTCAGCCGCCTTTCGTTGTCACTCTTGAGGAAGTAGAGCTGGTGCATTTCGAGCGCGTCCAGTTTCACCTAAAGAACTTCGATATGGTATTCATATTCAAGGACTACTCCAAAAAGTTGGCTATGGTCACAGCAATTCCGATGAACTCACTGGATCATGTCAAGGAATGGTTGGAGTACGTAAAAATGTCTATTCGACGTTTTTCTTTGTTCACGTTATTGATTTTTTCAGTTCCTGCGACATCCGCTATACGGAAGGTATACAAAGTCTGAATTGGCCAAAAATCATGAAAACCATTCTGGACGATCCCGATGGCTTCTTCCAGAACGGTGGTTGGAATTTCCTGAATAATGAATCAGATGTAAGAACCATTTTCATCATCCCTGTATGTGTCCCCTACTTATGTTTTCTTTCTGCTTCCCCGAATATGGCTATTTCAACTTGTACACAAGGAAAAAAGAGTGTTTAAATGTTCAAATTCTTAGTCATTTAAATTTATGCATTTAGCAGGCGGAGTAGCCCACGTAATGGATACGTAATTATTGACATGTAGGACTTTATATGGAATCGTTTGAAGATGTCACACTTTTATCAGCAACCATAAGACCAGAGGTTTGACGCAAATATGTGAATGACTTTCTGATTATCCTACTTCACGGATGTAACCATTTAAGAGAGTTTAGAGAACATCTTACCAATATCCATGCGACATCCAGTTCAGATAATTGAAGCAGAATGATTTGAAGCAGACATCTTTTCTTCATTTAACGTGGAGCAGGAACCTAACCCAGACACTTTCAGTAGCCGGATCCGTTAGAGCTTGTGATATTGATTCTTCTGCGCAGTGGTCTCGTTTTCTCTCTGGTATATGGTATCGATTTATTTTGTGCCTCACTTCCTGTTAACTTGATGAAAGGTCGGTTCTTCCTACCTACCACAACAGTAAACTTTACTTTGCTGGAACACTAAAAACCTTTGTTGACAAGAAGTTGGAGGGCTATTTCTGCATTTTCTCAGAAAACCTCATGAATAGAGGTCCTCTGAGTTGGTTTCAATATGGGGATGAATCTTTTTGTTTCAGTGACTTTTGCTTCATATTCAGACGGCGTCCTCAGGAAGTCTGCCACTTAGCATGTACCATCAAGTCTTGCAACTGAAACCCTATTTATAGAGAATCCTAAATGCTTTGTTTCTTCGTAGCATTCTCCCTTCTTTCTTATTTGCACTTTGTGTTAACTCTTTCCAGGTTTTTCGATAATTTCAGACCATTTTTTCGTTCATGTTTTTCTCCTATTTTAATTTATTTTTTT